GTTCAGGAGATCTATCCGCAATCATCAACGTCTGCTCGCTATAATGGACGACTTCAACGAGGTCTTCAGCGCCGGCATGTTCGTTCAGATGCTCTCGAGCACCTTGATGATTTGCCTAACCGGCTTCCAAGCCGCTTTGGTAAGTCGTGATAAGTCAAAGTGCTGTCACGGTCGGATCGTGATCAGAGCCTCGCTTTGTTTCGACCAGATCGTGGGCCAGAGCTCCGACACCTGTAAGTTTGCGATATACCTGGCGGCGGCCGTCTCGCAGCTCTTCTACATCTGTTGGGTAGGGAACGAAGTGATGTACCAGGTGCGATTATTTCCCCCGTAGTAAATTTCCGTGTAGTAATATAAAAGCTTCTTTCTATTATAATATACTATATTCTTTCATTAATTATTTACGCCACTTCGAATTATAAAACAGACTTTTATAAATCAATTTGCCACATGATGTATTTTAATGCTGCATCAAGTATATGATCGGAATATTTTATTTCTATTAAAACGATAAAAATGTTATATATATATGTCACATTTACTTTCATGTTCACATCCATTATTAAAAGTTAGAAAGTTAATACGATATAAATTATATTATAATATATATATGCATCTTTATATATGCGATTTCTTCGAGAAATTACAACCTATAATTAACATGATTCGTTATAATTTTAGAGTTATAATATATATAATTAACTTTCTCAACGCATTCAATTAATGATCTTGCAGAGCGCGTCGCTGACGCAAAGTCAGTGGCTCTCGGGATGGAGTGATGAACTTTCCGTCAAGACTGGACGTCTGATAAATCTATCCATGATATTTTCAAAAAGAACGTTAAATCTGAAAGCAGGTGTTTTCTACGTCTTATCTATGGAAACATTCATCGCGGTGAGTTCATGTTGGAAGATACAATGATGACGTTTCGTATGTTTAGATCGATATATTGCGTGATAGAAATATCAAACGATGAAGAAATATGAGATTAATTAATTAAATGAAATAAAAATCATTCAATCATATGTAGATGCTCAGCGAGCACATAAAACTTAATTTATAGAGATTGAAACGGATTTTTCTCTCACGCGATCACGCAAACTTTCCAACTGCGAGCGAAACTTAACGAGACATTGATAAAAAAAAAATATGACTTAGGGATTCGAGATAACTTACATAATTTACCGAGACATTAATAAATTATTATATCGACGTGTTATCGTGCAGATGTAAATATTTTGTTTCATTTTGAGAGACGATTCTCTTTTTCTTCACCCGCGGCGAATCGATGCCAATATTTATAAGAATATCGGGACAAAAAAGTTGAAACGCCTCACAAGCGACCGCTATGAATAGTATTACGTAAGAATCTGAAAAGAGCAAGAAGAACAAAACGCACATCTCTCGCGCAAAGAGAGGCGATGCACGTCTCTCCGCCCATCCGTTGTGAACAACCATATATTAAATCAATGGTCGTGCGATGCCTGATACAACAAAGTGCCTAGAGACAAAACGTCAAAGTATAAAGATTTAATAGTCAAGCACTGGTTCGTGAAACTCGAACATATTCACCTGTATAAAAGGATTATCTGACATAATTTACGATTCATTGTAATAATAATTGGTCTCAATTGGAAAGTGAGATAATCGCTACATAAATTATCTCATTAGATTTCTTATAATGTGTTATTTTTGGCATTGCATTCACTAGTTGTGATTCGCCGGTATTTATACAAAAAAATGAATCGATAATTTACCAAAAAAATTTTTTTTTGTAGATCCTGCGGGGCTCGTATTCGTTCTTCGCTCTACTGAGCACCATGCAGTCGGAAGGCGATCAGTGAATCCGACAACTTCTCAGCTCTAGTTATCGCGTAGCGCAACTTCTGAAGTCGAGCATTGGCGAAGTGTATTGAAGCAACACGGTTAAAAACCGGTTGCAACACATGCAACATCGCCGATCCGGAACAAAGTGAGTTTACCATTATTGTTACTGTTACTGAGGCTTGTACAAAGCATATTAAATATTTTATTTGAACTTCGTCAAATGAAGTTGTTGAAATATAAGAGAAAATTGATATTGACGAGGATGTAACTGCAAGCCGTAAATATTTAAAATTAGAAATTTTAAAAATAATTATAAAAATCGTTATGTAGTCTTACGATTATGTAATAATGTGGAAAATTATTTTAATTGATATATTTTCGATTCTAAATATTTATTTAGTTTATTAATATCAGTATCGACACTCTGACAGAATGATGCTCCTTCAACTAGTATAATAAAAAAAAATATAGTACATATTATATAAGAGAAGAAACATAATTAAATTTTTCATAACTTATTATTATTCTTAATTTAGAGCAATTTAGTTAGAGCATATCGATGAATATTGGTTAAACAGAATTCGCGAAACATATCTTGATCTGCCGACTGTTCATGTCAATGTTAGAATCACCGTAAGACCATGTTCGTGGAACAGGTTGGCGTCAGTTTTTATGATTATGGATCCGCCAAAAACAGGATCCTATTCTCGAGCCGCGCAATCAGGCTGCAACAGCGACTACCTGACCGACTAATTACAATTGTAGTTGTCGGATCTGACTGTTAGCTGCCACATCTCGCTGTGAAATATCACATTGATAGCGATCAAGATCCGTATAACTTGGTCGGTGCAGGGCGATTGTCGAGAATATCTTGTGCACGTGTCATAGGTGAACGCACAGGAAATGATCGCTTTCATTTTTTTTATAATTTTCTCGCAGGATCACACGTATTATTGAGATTTTCGAACGATTTGAAGTACTTATCTATTATTAACTTTAGACAATCTATAATTCGCGACGAAATCTAAGATAAAATTCTATTTATAATTTTATGTGTCACATATCTGAATGTATATATATATGTATTCTGATATGTATTTTGTGTATATCTATGTAATTTAGTTTTCCAAATATTTTTTGTATTACAGGATACATGTAAAATTATAGATTTCTGTTCTGAATTTTGTTACGAATTATAGATATCTATAAAGTGGGCCTTAAAAAAAGGAAAATGATTTGTATCAACTGGCGCTCTTTTTTGTTTAGACAGATATAAAATTCATGGAATAAATCGTATATTGAAACAACGATATATTATATATATATGTTAATTGCATTATATATAATATAATTGTTCAATAAAGAGATAATTGGTATAATTATATAATTTTAATCCATTTGATTTAATCGATTCTGTTTGGGTAAAGACAGTTTATTTAAATTATTTTTTTACCTGGCGCTTACCACTTATTGCGACAGAGACTTTCAAAGGTCCTCGTAATCGGAAACACAACATTTCTTATAATTCATCTCGTAGCACGCGATTGCGGGGACAAAAATCGAAAATAAAATTGGCTTTCCTATCGCGATTCCGTTAGTTAATTGATTGCGACGCATTTTTCTAAAGCGGATCGCGCATTTTCAATCGCCCATCAATACTCAGTAAGTGTGTCTGAATATTAATAAACAGCAAAAGGGATAGTTCGTCGAACGAAATTACGAGATGTACGCTCGCCGATTAGATTCTTAATTAACTTCATTAAATCCACTCCGCGCGCGCGCAATTAATCGTCGATTTGACGCGCTTAATTAAGTATTCGTGGTATAAGTAGTTGCGATTCATCGATAAATACCGACGCTGATAACTCACGGAAATCGTGCAGATCCCCGTAGATAGAACCGCCTTATTCTCGGTTTGCAAATAAAATACACGCGGACACTATCGGACGGAGAGATCGACACGACGAGTCGCGAAGCGCGAGCCAGGCTCAAATCCCGAAAATCCAGTTACGATCTCTATGACCTCAACTCGCGATTCAAGGCCATAATTTAACCTTTCCGGTATTAAATATTTATTTAAGAAATCTACTTTCTGCACGTGCATAGATAAACGCACGGGAAGCGATCTCTCTTATTTTTCTCATAATTATCTTGCAGATTATCGTCATGAATATTATTTTCTAACGCGATCCGTATTTATTCTCCGTAAAAGAAAAAAAAAAGAAAATGTTAAGTGAGAATTGGCGATCTTCGTAAATTATTTCCACGCGCGGTTATCGCATAAGTATAAGATTTTTTTTTATTATCGCTTACAATGTAACATATTAAATTGCACGATAAAGATTATTATTATTTCTTAAAAAATTTCTGAATATTTTTGCAAAATATATTATCGTAATACTTCATGAAGAAACTAAATGTCAATAGCGTAACTTAATGCCATCTATGAAAATCGGGCACGAACTTATGCAATCATCCAATATTATCGTAATACTTCATGAAGAAACTAAATGTCAATAGTATTTTAATCACATATAATAATTTTCCGATTCATTGTCGTCGTTATATGCAGCAATCTTACTTTCGTTTCCACCGCTACCTCGAGAGCTCGTCTCGCTACCGCTGCGTTTAACCAGAAGCAGAAGTATCGTTAAAAATTGAGACACGCGGGATCAAGCATCGTTTATCACGCTCATCGGTATCGCCATGTACGGCAGTAAATAAGGAATTAAGCGCGGTAGCCAGCGGCGAGTTCGACGGCAATTAACGAAAGGCCGCATCTTGATTATCACCTGTTTTTGATCGAGCGGAACTTTACCTTCCGAGAGCTCTCTCGCGATTCTCGCGTAGCTTGAGCGAGAGGAGGAGGCTGTGGCGATAATACGTACCGTGGGATATGGATGATTATTATGAACGCAGCGAAAAGAGAGAGCCCCGGAGCACTGCGAGTGCCACGATGCGTTTTTCTTGACGAGACTAAAAAGCCTCGTCGACGTTCTCGGGGGGAGTTTAGGAGTCAATCAGCGTGTCCGCTAATATCTTCTGTTTCACGGGTATTTGTTACGACATCTCTTTCAAATCGTGTGATTATAGCCCTCGCGCATCGTACAAGTGGAATTTATCGGCCGGTGAGACGATCCGCTTATATCGCTTATATCGATATGTAATTGAAATTTTTCTTAAACTTGCTTACGACGCACGCTCGGGTCGACCTACGCGGTATCTCGTTGCTCGTCTAGTTTCATGAATGATTAAATGGGTAATATTTTTCTCGCGCACACACAATTCATCTTTATATATAATTTATATTTAATTTAATTTAATATTTTTCTCGCGTAATTAATTTGTATATATAATTTATTTCTTATGTATGAAACATATTTTTTGTTTTGTAGTATTATGTGATATAAGATTATATATATTTTATATTTGAATATATTTTATATTTGAATATATTTTATACAATTTTGCAATACATCGATATCCGATAGTATCATATGCGCAGTATTGGAATTGACATAGATGCAAAAAGATATAGGATTTAACTGCAAGCCAAAGTTTATTTCGCGAGAACTGAGAAATGCAAGTACATACATACGACGTCGGCCAATTAACTGGTACAATGACGTTGATATATTGGCTTGAGCATCAGCTAAGTCGTTTGACACATTGCCCCATTCAGAACGTTCAATATAAATATTCTGGTTAATATTTTCGTGCCACCAAATATAATTTATAATTAAAATGTAAATCGAGACGGCGCGAAAACGCAACTCATTCCCTTCATTACTTATCAGCGCGAGTCAATATTATAATGTTACAAAATGTATATATACATACTAATTAAGTAATCAGTTAACAACGATAAATGATGTCGGTAAGAATTCAGATTGGAAAGCTATTTTACGTCTGCGAAATGTGTCAACTTTGACATTTAAAGCACGGAGTTGTCAATTAATCATAAATTAATGTTACAAATTTAAAAAATATTGATTCTAATAAATGTTTCTATTACTGTACGTTATTAATTATTAATTTAAAAATGGACTAATTCAATTAGCTTAATAATCGAAGACGAGATTATAAAATAATATATATAATATATTCAGAAAACGCAATTTGGCAAAAAGAAGTCACTCTTTC